TTTATTATTAATATACACACTTAAGTACTGATCTTAACGCGATGTAGTTATACTAACGTAACTATTTATAAACATATTCTATATTTAGTGTTCCAAGTACTCGATGAAGTATTCCAAGCGTCTGAGTTTTCCAGATGTTTCCAAATTCTCTGAAATAGAAAGTTTACTTTCTTCTTTGTGTTTGTTTATTTATCAGTTTAATGTTATTATTTTTAAACATGAGTGAATGAATAATCTTTTTTTTTATTATTCTATTAGTCTATATACAAACGTTTACAAATTTGTTTATAAAATAAATTGCAGGTCGTGAGAGTACCGATAAAGAAGAACATCTAGAAGAATTAGTGAACCGATTGGAAAACGTAACGAGACGACTCGAAAACGTACACTTTGCAGTTCAGACACAAGACACTGCTGTACAAACGAGCACACCTTCCCCGAGGAGATCTACGTCATCAGGAAGTAGTTTATCTCTATCGTCGAAGCAGGAAACCGTTCCAAATCCACCTACAAAGATGTCGATCGCTGGATATGAGGACTTTTTAGCTGGACCAGTTAAAGAATATCTACAGTTAAGTCAAAAAATTGGCGGCGATGTAGATGTTCATAGCAAGCTTGTGGAAAAAGCTTTTCAGTAAGTAATATTTTAATATTTTAGTTTTATGAGATTAAAGAAGTAGACGAATGTATATATTGAATAAATTATTAAATAAATAATATTAAATTATTAAATAATAATAAATTGTTAAATATATATTCTAATTTCAGGATTCAGCTTCAGTTTATACACATGGCGGCGAGTCGTCCTGCACCAATGAATCAATCCGAACAAGTATCTTTATTTGCGCCTATGTCTGCACAAATACAACAGATTCAAGAATTTCGCGAGAAGAATCGTGGATCTCCATTCTTTAATCACTTATCAGCAATTAGTGAAAGTATCCCAGCTTTGGGATGGGTCGCAGTGTCTCCTACACCAGCTCCTTATGTAAAAGAAATGAATGACGCCGGTCAATTTTACACTAATCGTGTATTAAAAGATTGGAAAGAAAAGTAAGCTTTTTTAAAACTCATTTTTTTAAATTTATTCTAGAGCGAAACTAAAACTTACTTATTTATAGAGACAAAATACACATAGACTGGTGTAAAGCGTGGGTGCAAACATTGACCGACTTGCAACAGTATGTCCGTCAACATCATACGACAGGTTTAGTATGGGGAAAAACTGGCACACCTGCGGGCGTATGCTTACCACCCCCTCCGCCACCTTCGATGCCAATCGGAGATATTGCACCGACGTTGAATGACGACAGAAGCGCCCTTTTTGCTCAGATTAATCAAGGAGAAGATATCACAAAAAGTGAATACATTTATTATATATATATTTTTTTCGTAACTCTATATAATCTCTATACGAGAATATATTATACGTAATATATAATATTTATATTATAGGTTTGAAAAAAGTCACTTCCGATATGCAAACACATAAAAATCCTGCTTTAAGATCCGGTCCGGCACCATTTAAAGCGCCAATCAACGCGATACCGATGAAAACTGTGTTGTCAGCAAGCGCGCCTATTGACAAGCCACCTGTATTTACTAGAGATGGCAAAAAATGGCTCGTGGTATGAAATTTCGTAAAGGAATAATAAACATATTAGATAATGTTTCATT